AATACTCAGTTAAACTGTTCACACCAGCAGAGTTTAGATAGCTCAGTAGTTGCGAGTAATATTTGACCTGGTTTCTGGTACATTAAGGTGAACTTTTCTAATGGCAAGAAACTTGAAAGCTGAGAACATCTAGGACTTTACTTCCAACGGAATTGAAAGTCCAAGGTATTTCATGCTTGTTTCTGAAATCATGTTAGGATGGAAAGAGAGGTTCATGAATGAGGTTTAAATGGCAAAGAGAGTATCTGTGATAGGTGTCCGATTGTGTTTTTCAGTGACTGTTTTCCTGTGCTTTCCTGTTCCTCAAGCAGCTGAGACACATGTGCCTTATATATACTAGACTGTACTAGCTAGTAATGCTGGATTTATTAGTCTTTTGCAGTGCCAGAATGATGGAGAGCTGTTGTGATGTGCTAGTTAATGCCTTTTTGTGCTGTTTGTCATCTTAGCGCGTTGTCTGTTGATGCAAGATAACAGTTTGGAGGGGAAAAAGCCCTCACAAAGCATATTTTTAACCAAGTCAATTTCTTTCATATTAAACTTGTCTGCTTATGTATTTTTGAACCTTGCTCTGTATCAAGGACATATGAGTGAAAATGGGGCTATGTGACAATTATGGATGGAGAGTGTTAAGGTTTCTGGAATCTATGTTTATTTTGTAAGGGTTGTGAACATGTGCAAGTAAAGAGTGTGGTTGAGAGCAATGAAAAAATCTTTTAGTGTCTTATAAGAGGACAAAGAGGAAGAGAGAGTAGTGTGTTTTGGTTTCATGTCTTAGGAAGATCTGAGCTGCAAGCTGAGGAAAGGTTGCAGGTTGGCTGTCCTATACTGTAAATTTCTGTACTTTGAAGTTTCCACCTCTCATCATTTCTTTCTCCACTGTACACAAAGGCAGGAACTTGGCTGAAGCTTTCAAGCAGAGTCATGTTCAAGAAACACTTTTTCAGGTTCCAGGAAGGTTAAAAAAAGTACTCATGGATGAAGTGAGCATGAATCTGTTGAAGACATGACGTAGAATGGGGAAGGCACAGAGCAAGCAAAGAAGAATATGTGTTGCTGAAGATGGAGTACTGTACAAAAAAAATCTAGTGCTATGTGAGGACAGCTGTCTGAGGAAATGCATCTCCAAACTATTTGTTTCCAGCATTTAAGGCTCTTTCTGCTGCCTTTTGTGTCAAAGCTGTTACATCTTTACAGTAAACATGTAATAGCAGTCTGTGGTGTTTCTAATATTTTCCAAACTGCAGCATGCAGTTGAGTGGTAATACCAAGATCACATAATTACTTGCCAAAGCTTTTAATGTATGGAGTCACCATTTTTTACTACCTTCCTATGGTGACAAAACTGTGAAATGGAAAGCTCACAATGATGCTGGTAGTTGGCTGAGTTAGCTTTGATGTTTCAGTTTCGCTACCCCACTATGTATTAAACATTCCCACAGGCCTTGAGTGTGGAGTCTCAGTCTCATTTGTTTGTCACTTCACCGAAGTGTAACTGTATTGGTCACAAATTTCTGTACTTCCCTCTGCCTCAGTGTGTCTGTAAATTCAGATACCTCTAGAGCTTTTCAGTAGGATTGTCTGTCAGGCATGGCTTTTGTCATCTCCAGGAATATTCGCTTGTATTTGAAGCTGTCAACATTTGAATACATTTGGATCATGCACTCACAAAAAAAAAAAAAAAGCCTTCTGTTCTGCTGATTTCTCAGCCAGTCATCAGCATCAGACTGGGCAGGGCTTTCCCTGCAATTACATCTTTTTGTGACTTAAATGGAAGCAGGGAGTCTTCCTCATGCCTTTGACATACCTGCTCATGTCTCAGAGTAAAGGGCTTCCTTAGTATTCTGAATAGAGGGCCAGCTGAAATTCTGTCTCAGCTCTTGGTGAGGGGCTGAGCTTTGTTTTAATTCTTGCAACAAGAGCTGCTTTGGACTGGGTTATCTTTGTAGTTGGCCGCTCCCTTATTGCTCAAATTTATATTTAATTCCATTAATCATAGTAAATCTCTTCTGGGTGTTGAAGCAACATCTCTTTAGAGATCTGTCTGATTTGATGAGTTAATTACATAGCAAAGAGGTGTTACCTTTTAGTTTTGAGACTTCTGATAGCAACTGTGTATCTTGAGCTTGAAGTCCTTCCTCAGGCTTGGCTGCTTATGAGAAGTATACAGATCCAAAGAATTTTTCAGGCTTTGTTTTCCACTTCAACCCACTGGCAATTTTAAGTAGCCTAACTGATAAGACATGACACTTCTTTCTGACACTTGTGTAACTTTTGCCTCAGCACTTGGTTTCACTTGGGATTTTGGGGAGAGGGTGGATGGTCATCCTGTCATGGAGTATTCAGCCTGATTTTTGTTGATAGAGGTATGTTTCCAGTCAGTATGGGTTTTCTTTGTGCTGTTAAACTGGCCATATATTTATCTGGTTAACAATTTTCATTTGCTACTTCACCAGTTTTTAGGGATTTGTAGCAGTTGCAGAGCTACTGTTCTAGCTACCAATACTCAAATTTGCTAGGTAGCTTGTGTGTAAATAAGGTCTCTGGGGAAACCTTATTGCAGCCTTTCAATATACAAAGGAAGCTTATAAGAAAGATGGAGAAAGATTTCGTACCAGGGCCTGTAGTGACAGAACAAGGGACAATGGTTATAAAGAGAGTGCAGATTTTGCCTGGATATGAGGAAGGCATTTTTTATGATGAGGGTGGTGAGGCACTGGAACAGGTTGTCCAGAGAAGCTGTGGATGACCCATCACTGGAAGTGTTCAAGGTCTAGTTGGACAGCGCTTTGAGCTACCTGATCAAGTGACAGGGGCGTTGGACTAGATGATCTTCGATCCCTTCCAACCCAAATAATTCTGTCTCTATTTTTATTATTGCCTGCACTCGGTGATAGGGAGATGACCGGTTTGCTTTTCCTTAAGACCGTATGTAAAAATCTCCTAGAGCATCAAATTAATGAACTGCCTAGCCCACTGTGCTGCTGCAGACTGTGGCAACAGGCTTTGCTGCTTACAGGTTGCATGCAAGTGTAGCTGCTTCTGGCGTCCGTGCTCATTGCACTCACTGGAATCTGCAGTTGTGTAGGGTGAGGTTTAAACTTCAAGATCATCTTTCCTTTAGTGTCTTTTTATCAGGGAACTTGTATAATCTTTCTTCAAATGTGTCAGCACATCCTGTGTCACTAACCTGAAGGGGAAACAAACCCAGAGATTTGCTACTTGCAGCTTAAAGAAGTTTTCTGTTTTAAGCCAGTCTCTGACTAGTTTCAGTGAGTGCCCTCTGTTGTGGGCTTTAGTGGTGAATGAAGCAAATCATTCACCTTATCCACTGCCTTCCAGAATTTTTTGCGCTTTGATCATACACTACCCTCAGCTTTCCCTTTTGCAAGTTAGCGTCAGCCTTGTTAGTCTGTTAAGGTAGCTCTTTCATTCCTTTAGTTATTACTTTTAGTTCTCTCTGCTTTCTTTTCACTACCAAGTTCTCCATGAAATGGAGTGGGTGCCTGAACTCCACATGGTACTGAATATGTGGGTGAATGAGGGTTTTATGGAGAGTCAAAATGATGCCCTCTGTGTTGTTTTTGATCCCCTTCTTAGTGGTGCCCAGTATTTTGTTGCTATCTGTGGTGGCTGCTGCTTGCATTCAGCTGATGTTTGAGAGAATGGTGAGTGGTGATGAAAGATCTCTGTGATGACCTGTAGCTGCCAAACCTTACTCGAGTGTCACATAAGTGTAGTTCAGTTTTCCCAAGATCCACCACTTTTTATCTGTCTGTGTAGAAGGTCTTCTGTCACCATTGTCGACTGGGTTTTGTGAGACCCTTCCACAGTGACTCACCATTGGTACAGCACTTAACTGCCCATTTGATTACTTGGACAAAGTTCTCCATTGGCACGTAGATCATTCAGTACAGTAAGGAAAAACAAAAACCCAAGACCCTGAGAAATTACCTAGCTGTTCTATAAACATGTTGTCAAAGCAAAGTATGTCTTTAAAATCTTTGTCAAGGCTCAGGTGAGCTGTTCTGCATACAACTAAGCAATAGTCAAGTCCTGAGCAGTTTAATTTCTGAATAGTGCTGTTCGCATTATATGTTAGTAAGACTGCTTTGGCTTATATTCAGAAGGTTATTAATTACAACTTAAATTTTACACTGGCTGCTGTTTACCAAATTAGTAACCAGTCATACAGTTTTATTAATGACTTTTTTTTGACTGTATAGTCCCTTTTAGAAGTTGTTGGCCAGACCAGCTGCTAGAAAATATTCAAGTTTTCTTTGAGGTTCATCCATTCATGAACTGAACCAGCCAACTGTAAGACAGAACACTTTTTTTTTTTTCTAATAGATAAGGTAGAACTCTTAAGGTCTTCTGAAACCCAGAACAGTCAGTAACTCCAGCTCGTCTCAAACTGCTTCACAGGTTTACATTTGTAATTGGTATGTTTCTTTCAAATTAGTTACCAGTTAAATCATGTTTTGTTAAGTGGTATTTTTCATCCTGAAACTTATTAGTGTATTTTTTTCCTGAATAAACAAAGTGGTATTGATTCAGTTTTTGTATGAAGAACAGTTATTTTGCACAGCCTGAGTGGAATAGCACTGGATGAGCTTCTCTTCAATACCCGTGTACTGGAGGAGGGGGATAATTCAAACTGTGGCCTTAACTTACTTCCCCTCTCCCTCTAAGTACTTCTCTTCACTTTTCATGTTTACCACTATTGCTTATAAAGGTTTTACTGAGTTTGGGGAAGAGTTAACAGTATCAACAGAAGTTTAAGAAGGAGCTATAGGCAAGATGGTTTTCAACCTGGGACAACAGTGTACTTTCGTCTGTTAGGATAATTTTAGGAATTACTTTTAATAACAACTTTTTTTTCTTTCTGAAATTGATGCCGTTGTGATACATACACTGAGAGCATTATGAAGTGTTTGTAATTTGCAGCATGGATTTGGATTATTTATAATTTGGGCATGACCTTAATTTTGTTGTTGCAGGTTTGGACTAAGCAACAAATTTGAAGCAGAATTTCCTTCATCTTTAACTGGAAAAGTGAGTATATATGAATAGACATTTGGAATTAGAGTTAAAACTTTATTACAGAAATGAGTTCTAGGTGTAGACCTGTAAGAGAAATAAATTGTGCTGCTATGGTACTAGGTTTTGTTTTCTGTCCCTTGTAGGTTGCACCTGAAGAATTTAAAGCCAGCATCAGTAGAGTTAACAGTTGTCTTAAGAAGAACCTTCCAGTTAATGTACGATGGCTACTATGTGGATGCCTTTGCTGCTGCTGCACTTTAGGATGTAGTATGTGGCCAGTTATCTGCCTCAGTAAAAGAGTAAGTTTGAACTATTAATATTTGATTGTTACAGTTGTGCTGGGTTTGTTCCCTTTGTTCTTCTCTGTTTAAAAACCTGTGTGCTAGAACTTACTTAGATGAGTTTTTCTTACGTTTTTGTATGAGCTGTCATACTAGTTAAAATTGCAACAGGTGCCAGTCGGAATTTGGAGCTTATAACACAGTGAGTGATGGTATAGCTGAATGTCTCTGCTAGAACCATGTTGCTATTATTGAAATAACTTCCAACATACTTTTCTTAATAGCCACTTCTTCTCTGTGATACAGTGTTTTGGATTATCAGAATTTGGCAGTGATTGAGTGGCAGCTTGTTTTGAGGGGCTTCTGATACACTGTGGCCTGAAGATCCATACATTTTTCATTAAAAAGGCGAATAGAAAGAAGTAAATTGATTTCTCTCTATGGATTTTCCTTTCAAGCTGTAGATGAGTAAGATTTTTTTTCTTTTACAGTAAGAACTACGGCGTATTGTTTTGTTTGTCCATTTGATGCTTAGTGTATTGTTCACAACTAAAGCTCATTGTATGTGCCTGTTTTTCACTTCGTTTTCCTCAGTGCAGTTCATTAAGCTACCCTCCCATCTCTTTGATTTTGCTAATGCATAAAAATAAAAATAGCTAGTGCTCTTTTACTGTTTTGCAAGAGGTTTCTCTGCCTCCCTACCCTCACCTCACTATTGATACTGTTGCCCCTTCCATTTCGTGGCAAGGGCTGCGTATATTCTCTCTTCTGCAATATATCTTAACGCTGCAAATTGTGTACGATTCAGTACACTGAATGTCATTATGATTTTCTTTATCAAAGCCCTTATTTTACAGGATCAGTAAATCAAGGCATTGTAAAAACATGTATAAAATTAATGGTAATCAGCAAAACTTTTACATATTTTTGTATAATCTTTCAGTGTTAAAACCTTAATGCTTAGTTGCTTTGAGAGATTATTTAAGACTAGTTTTAATGGTATACAAAATAAGATAGAGAAGCCTTCTGGTAATACTGTAGTCCTTGAAAGAAAAAAATCACGTTGGCATCAGTGTGAATTATATCAAACCCTAGGTTTTCTGTCTTTAAGCTGTCACAAACTACTAAGTCTCCTGTAGCATGATGGTGTAGCCATATCCTGAAAGTCCATTTAGAGAAATTAGAATTTGCTGATTGTTTCGACAAATCAGTTAGTGACTTAACTAACTTGTGGAGCAGACCACCTTTACTGTTCTAGGCCTAGCTCTGTTCATCAGGAACACAAGGGCAGCTTGCATTGCTACTGTCCATGTAACTTCTAAAGGAGAAAGCTTCTGGTGCTCTTTAGCTGGATGCATTTTTCTCGCAAAATGTGCTGTTGTAGCAGGAAATGATGTTGGGATGTGATGTGGTCGGGGCTGATGCCACAAGCCTTTATCTTCTAAATGGAGGCCTCTTAGTGTATTACTACAAATCACAAATAATCAACTTTTTATATATTAAGTAAAGTCAGAAAAAAGGGCAAGCGCTTGTAGCATCGGGCCAGAAAAGAAAGCTTGAAGCTGAGGAAGGAAGTTCTGTGTGGGAACCTGGTGAAGCAAGAGTTAGGAAGTGCTTCCATTAAAGTTCACATGGGACGGGGGTGCAGGTGAGCTCCCTTCCAAAAGAGTAAATCTGAAAAAGAAAAACCCAAACATGGATACTCTGTTCACAGGGGGCTGGAAAGAGGTTAGTACTGTAATTGCTGCTGTAATATACAGACTGCATAAAGACAGAAGAGTCTCAGAGAACGAACAGCAGGAGCAAGGATGAAAACTTGGGCTTGTAGTTCTAGAAGTCATACTAGAGGTATGGCCAGGCTGTCCATAAATATTGCATTTTTTCCTGTTAAAGCTGGTACTAGGAGACATTTAAGGACCTTTGCACCTTTTCCTGTACTTAGGTGACTTGGGCTCAAGCTTGTATGTCCAGCATTAGTGAACCTGAGGTTAAGACTCAGCTGCCTGAATACAGTATCTTGTGCCGCTGTGGGTGGCACAGTGGTGCTAGGCACTGGTGGCACCAAGTGCCCGTGTTTAGGCAGTCTGATCATTCCTCCAGAGTGAAAATAATTTAAGTCAATCGGGAGGCTTCAGATCTTGTGGCAACATCATTTGTCCATGTCAGCAAATGGATGTCTGCTTAGAGGGTTCTCTGACAGACAGCCATCTAGAACTTGGTGTTGGTTGGGCACCTGAGGAGTATAATACAGAGAAGAGTAAAGTAACTTATGTTCTTACACACTGAAAGGGATAAGAATGCTTTCCCAGGCTGTAACTCTTAATCCTGAACCTGGCCGGGAAAGACTTTTTGTTCTGGTGGAGGAGGTAAGGAGGAAAGCTGTGGAATATTTGCAAAGACATATTTGCAAGTTCTAGGAATCAAGCAGATGAGTTTGTAATGATTCTAGTCAGGGCTACTACTCACAGAAAAGCAGTGAAGAGTTACTGCCACTTGAGTTGCCTGAATAGGTATGTGTGGTTTCAACTTTATTTCTTGGTAGATCCAGATCAGGAAAGTACAAAGTAATTTAAATCCTTGAAATACCTCTTACCTGGAATGACAGGTTTTGTACCTTTTAAGATCTCAGTACTGAACTGCATCCACAAGCTTGTAAGATTTTTCTTTTATGCAGGACTCTGCATCAGTTTGTCAAAGTGCTATGACAAGCGTGGGAAACTAATCATATTAAAGAAGTGGGGAAAGTGAGAGACAGTGAGTGGATGATGCGAGTCATCTGGAGCTGCTGAGGAGATTGACAGCATTGTAAACACAACCTGGTTCATCTGGGCTCCAATCTTTAATTTGCTCAGTAGATTCCAGTACAAGTACTACAAGAAGCAACTCCATATTCTTCCACTAAAAGGAAATTGAAATCCATAGGCTATTGTGGTTTGCTGCTTGTGCCACAGCTTTGTTGATGCGTAGCACACTAGCGTATTCGGTGCAAAGTCATCTCACTTGAACTCTCCTGCTGCTCGTCTCTGGCTTTGCTATGTCTTGGAAGAGGGCTGTGTCGATCAAATGAGCTTCCGTTCTTTGACTTTTTCAGATCTCTTTTCACTGGCCACACTGGGGATACCCATAACAGCCATGATTCCCTTCTTGAAGAAACAGGGATCCAGGATGGCATGTGCCTGTTTCTTCCCTTCAACGTCTAGATTCAGTGGATTCTTTCCCATTGACACTCATCATGTAAAACAGTTATAACAAAATAAATAACCTTTTATTTGTTTTGATTTACAATACCTGTACTTGTCTAGGAAGTATTGCCCAGAGAGCTTTGCTAACTTAGCCATGTCCTAAGTGATTCCTAGTGAAAGGACAGCTACATGGAATTGGCCTGTGTTGCATCCTTTGCTGCAGTAATCACAAGACTCCTGAGACCATATAATTGGAGATTTTCATTTCTGAAAGCAGAATGGGGGTGTTCCCATGTAGAACCAAAATTTGTGTAGAGCATATTTTAATTGCACAATAAAAATATACTAGCCTTCAGCATTGCCTTTTTGTACTGGAAAAGATGAACAAATTTGTTTTGTTGAATTGCATATACAGTGAGCTGACAAGTGGGAGTATTTCTCAAGTTAAGAATACAATTGCTTACTTTTAATATGGAGAACTAATTTTTTCTCAGAATGACCAATTATGAAATGTGTTTTAATGAGGCTGAGTCAATCTGGTGATTAATCTCTTAAATTATTGATTAATCTCTTAAATTGCTGGTAAACTTTGCAGTTCTTTCTCAGAGAAACGTTCTTTAAGGCTCATGTAGACAAAATGAAAGCTGCAGCTTCAGAATTGTTGAAGTTAAAATAATTCTTTTAATCTTTTTCTGTAGTCTGTGTTTTTACTGCCTTTTGTTTACTCTCTTAATTCTAATGTGGGAATGTTATCACAAATGTAAATACAATTTTTGAAATTACAGACAATTATTGAAAGTTTTGTATATAATGGGAATATATACTTATTTTTGTGAAGTGAAAAATAAATTATGGGTTTGTCTTCTTAAATCAGCAGGTGCTTCAAACTAGGAATTTATTAAGTTGCAGGCATCTGTGAGCTTAATTGTTAATTATATCACTTTAATGCATTTCCATGCAGTGAAAGCTTCCCCTTCACTGTATTTTTCTTTTCAGTGCTTTGTTCAGTTCTAGTTTTGGAAGTCTTTGTACAGTATTGTTTCCTTTCTTCTTTTGCATTGAGGTATTTGAGAAAAAGCCTGGTACTCTTTACCAGTAAAATAAATATTTAATTTGATTCAATATCTTATTGCCTCTCTTTATATGTGGTTTTGATTCATTTTTAATGAATAAAAGCTGCAAGAAAGTTACAGGAAATACAGTCCGTCATTTGCAGATATAGGTCGTCAATGATTTTCAGCAGTTTAACTCGTAGATTGTACCATCCTTCCTGGGACAAGTTCCAGATTGCACAAATGAACATTAAGTCTTTAAGTTATTGTTCTTTAAGTAAAAAGAATGACATAATGAGTTATAATTCAAAAAGCACTAGAGGCCGAGGTGCCCATTTGAAGCCACTTTTTCAAATGAATTGACACTCATTTCTGTGTTAACTAAATGCTGTAGTTCCTGATGTGTAAATGGGATAAATTTTTTTCAACAGAAATGGTAACAGTGAAAGCTATGATAGAACTGGAGTACTGCTAGATTTCTAAAAGCTGGTATTGTATGTGTAAATTGCATGTTTCAGAAGGTTCATGGGCAATCTCTTAAAATGAATAGAATGAGATATTTAATAGCGATCTCTACCAATAGTTTCAAGAGCTACTTGTTTGTTTGTGAATTCACACAAAGCTGATGAGTGCTGCTTAATCCTCATCATTACTTGTCACTTATGTAGCAGTTTACATCTTCATAGTGCTGTATAAACAAGCTAATTACAACTTCCAAAGTATTGATTAACTTAAATTAGTGGAGGAGCTGGAATAAATTTCCTTGAATACTTGTTTGTCAGTT